ACACTCATCAGGATGAAACAGCCCATGTTTTTCCCCTGCTGCCTTCGTCTGCCCTCTCTTCACAGAGCCGGCATTGAATGCCTTGTAGCTTACCGAAGGCAGGATTTCGAGCTCTTGGCCTCTCCCTGCATCCCCAGGTTTTCTTTCCTGATGAGAACAGCTCATGCCCCCCCCACCCCCTTCCCCTTGCGACTCTCTCTCTCATCATGATGCAGTGCCTCCCCCACCCCAATTCACTCTGGGCCAGTTCACACTTTAGGCCATTTGTCCTCAGCCCAAGCGCCCTCTGGTGGTGCTTTTGGAGCATTCGAAGCAGGAGTTTCAGCCGCCGTGGGCTCCTCAGAGGTCACCTGTGGGCTCCCCCCCCACCCCTGCCTGATGCAAGCTCTGCCGAAATGTTCCTTCAGCCAAAAAAGTGGAGGAGAGGTTCAGCCTCTGAATCTGGACTGGCAGGTGAGCAAAATGTTTAAGGTAATGAATGTCACCAAGAGTTGCAAGAAAAGACCAAGGGGACGCAAACATGACTTCTGTGGGAAGCAAAAGACGTGAGTTCTGAAGAGGTGCAGAATTGTTCTCTTCTTTACCACTGTTCAATCATGCCCACCTGCCCAAAGGTATCTGAGGTGAAAGAACAGAGCTTCTGAAGGAAGCAACAGAGGTTCTGTGTGGCCCAGGATTACAGCTGGAAACATGTTGAGGTGGTCGAAGTGCGGTTCACACAGATTTTCCTCAGAGAAGGAAGGCTTCAAAGTCATCCTGTGCTGAAGTTGTGAAGGCCAAACACAATGCAAAGGGAGCGAGTGTGCAAGACGGGTGAGGCGAGAGAAGCCCCTCCTGTGTCCTCAAGTGCAGAAGGGTGGCTTCGGGGGGGGGGGCTTGACTCCGAGGCCCTCATCCAGTGGGACTGTTGGGGCCACTCCTTGGAGGCCAGTCGGCTCCCAGGCCGAGGCCAAGCTGGGAGCCACATTTCCTGGGACGCCAGAAGGACTTTTACTGATGAAGGTTGGTAACATTTGGGAGAAACGGCCCCCCACCACCTTCGAAGGAGACAAATTGGCAACAGAACGTGAGCAAAGACACTCAGGCCAGACTGTAGATCCCAAACTACTTAAGGGGGGGGAGGGGGGAGGAGAGAATCACTTCCCATTGATCTTATTGTCTCTCAATGGCTCATTTATTAAGTGGAAAGTAAAGCCTAAAGCAATCTGATGAGGATGTCAAAGGGAGTTCACAGCTTATCCTCCTGAGAAGCCCAAATGCCTTCTCTTGTTTTTCAGTCCCACTGTTGAATGTTTTCCCAGTTTTACCATTTGTTTGTCATCCAAGACTTTAGGAAGTCATTAAGAAGAGTCACCCTGAGGGGAGGGGGCAGAGGGGGTGGCTCCAAACAGCAGGAGTTTTGAACAGTGGCCTCCACAAACTCTCCGGTTTCTGGAAAGTGCAGCTTCACGCCATGCCCCCCCCCCGTGGGACGCCCCGTCCCTTGGCCAGCTAAATCCTCTCCATCCCCACCTCAGGAGCTGGTCCTTGGGTTGCAGAGGCAACCAACATGGCAACCAACCTAAAAAGCCTCAAAGTTCGAATATTTAACTAAAACAAGCGACACAGGGTCCCACTTGCAGAAGTGAATGAGTGAACGTTGCCTGAAAGGAGCCAGGATTCTCCAGCCTGGTGAACTCCAGCGGTTTCTGTTTTTGTTTTCGCATTCCGACTGCCATCAGCCCCAGCCAGTATTGATGGATGATGGAGTGGTTGTCCATACCAGTGAGCAAGGGCTGGGCTGAGGAGCGCCTTGCCCCTCTTTGCTGACGACTTCATCACCCACAAGAGCCTTTTCCAAAGGGATTAGACACAGTTCCAGTTCTGAGGCCCCAAATAGGATAGTGTTGCTCTTGTGGAATCAAGACAGGTGCTTCTTAAAGTTCAGCATCCGGCCAACGTGTTGAATCGAAGCAATGGGGCTGAGGAGCAACCTGGTGCAAGACAGGCCCAGGGGAAAGTAGGACAGGCACCCACCAGCGCCCGCCCACCTTGGCCTTGCCAGGCGCTGCCCCTGGCCGTAAAAAGGGCACAAATACTCTCGATTCTGTGCATTTCTCAGCTTTTCTACAAAAGCAGCCCACATCCCAATAAGGAGTGCAAGCCACACCACCTCCGTCTGCTTCCTCCGTCTTCCCATCAGCAACAGGACCCCCAAGGACGACCCTCTTACTGCCACTTCTTCCTGAGCCCTGATTTAAATGTTTGGCCCACAAAAGAAGGGGTAATTGGTAACCAACTTCAGCCTCGCTTGTGGACTCTTGCAGGCAACTTGGAATGTCTGAAACCTTAGAAGAGCCTCTCTCTCTTTTGCTAACCCCTCTAAGCTGCTCCTAAACATATGTAGGTCTGAAAAGAAAGACGTGCTTTTGCTCAGTGCACAGACACCTGCTGCCCCCCCCCCCGAAGCCTCAGCAGGGCAGGCGGGGGGGGCAGAGTCAGTTAATAAGACATGAAACGGACTGGAGCGGAAAGGCTGGGAGTGCGGGCGGAGGGGGGAGGCCCTGCCTGGTGCAAACAGGTGCTCCCAGCGCAGGGATCCGTCTTGTCTTCTTATGACATGTTGGAGCAACCAGCCTTCACACAAATCAAGTCATGACACTGCTATTGTAGTGGACGCTCCCCGTCTATTCTCCCCCCCCCTCTCTCTGTGTGTGCTTATGTATGCATGTATGTGCTTTTGACAAAGAATTCAGAACTTGGTGTCAAGACTGCAAGTTCAACCTCTCTGCAAACGATGGAGTTGGGGGCATGGGGTCCTGTTTTAAGACTGTAAAAGCACACCCTGCTTTCTTGCTGCAGCAGGAGAGGAAGAGAGGGTCAGATCAGCAGCTGATGCCCTTCAGTAGGCAGGAGGTGTGCCCACCACGTCCACATTGGCACACAGGAGAACTGTTTCTGACCATTCTCTGAAACACCTCCCATTCCTGCCCCCCCCCATTATCTAGCTTCTAGACCCCTCAAATAAGCTTCTGGACGGACTCCCTCATCTGTCCATTCAGAGGAGGCCACAAAAGCAACTGTTGGTTTACGGAACGTGATTTTGTCTCCTTCTGTTAACGGTGCCAATGTGCAGCTCAAGGCCACTCATGCCCCCCCTTGCCCCCATCGTATAGGAGAGACAAATCTGCCAATGTTCATTTCTCCCCATTTTTCCTTCTTCCGGCCAGCCATTCGTTTCACCTCATTTCTCTCTCCTTTGGCCACTTATTCTGCCCTGTTGATGCGGATGAGCCTTGTCTGCCCCCGATGGTCGCTGTGCCCCCCCAGACAGCCCCCTCCCCATTGCCCTTTGAAAGAACAGGTGCAGAGGGATCTGGGCTTGTCTTGGCCTCCCGCCAATCACAGGTGGTGCTACGGTGGCTCTGTTCTTACCTTGTGGGGGTGGCTGCGGACAGTGGCATTGGGGGGGGATTCTGTAGGGGGTGCCAGAGGCTTTCACTGTGAACCTCCCACCCGGATGGCCTTTAGCCTCTTTCTGAAGCTGTTGGGTAAGGTTGTGCTGGCTTCTGGCCCTGGCTGCCACCAGGGTGCTCATGATGGCCAGCTCTGTTTCTCCTTCTTGTCAGAGTCAAGGGGGACCTGGACAACATCAGGATAAGAGGCAATAGACTGGGCTGGATCCTAACCAGATAGAGGTTCTGTGGGTTGGAGGCAAGCTGTTGCTTCAGGTTTGTTAGGAAAAGGGAAACGGCTGCCATCCTCTCTCCTGCCTCCCGCCTCCCACCCGCCCAACCCTTTAATGTCCAGGACTCCTGCCAGCCCCTCCTTCATGAACACAAGACTGGCCTGAATTTGTCACATGCTTGCTGGTGCCCTTCACTCCCTGACCTCCTCCAGCCCCCCCCCCCCCCCCCTCCCCGGGGCGGGCCGGGGAAAAATACCAGCGT